AATAAAATGTGGTATATGTATACCATGGAGTACTATTCAGCTTTAAGAAACAATGGTGATATAGCACCTCTTATATTTTCCTGGATAGAGCTGGAACCCATTCTACTAAGTGAAGTATCTCAAGAATGGAAAAACAAGCACCACATGTACTCACAAGCAAATTTGTATTAACGGATCAACTCCTAAGTGGACATATAGGAATAACATTTATCCGGTATCTGGTAGGTGGGTGGAGGGAGGAGGGGATGGTTATATATAAACACAATGAGTGAGATGTGCAAAATTTGGGGAATGGTCATGCTTGAAGCTCTGACTCGAGAGGGGTAGGGGGGAATGGGCAATATATGTAACCTTAACATTTGTACCCCCATAATATGCTGAAATAAAATAAATAAATAAATATAAATAAAATTAAAAAATAAAGTATACTGGAAGATGTCCATAGATTGTATGTAAATAATACACCATTTTAATAAGGAACTTGAGCATCCATGGTGGTATTTGTTTGGGGGGTGTACGGTCCTGGAACTAATCCCCCATGGATACTGAGGGAGGACTATATTTAATTCAGGGCATACTTTGTTCATTCAACAATAATCATTCAACAAATATTTATTTGGTACCTACTAAGTACTAGGCACTATCGTAGGGATCAAGTAAACAATATACACCCAGTTCTTATCTTATGAATCTTAAATTTGAGTGAAGATAGACAATTAAAATTTAATTACATAATTAATTATTTAATTCCAATTATATATGTACAACAAAGGTTAATACAAGTAGGGGGACCATATAATTTGCCATCCAAATTTAAAATTTTTTGAGAGCAATTAGAGGTGCTGTTAACAGTTATGCCTGCACAATGGGTGTAAACCAAGAGTCTCAGGAAAAACTGGAATGTACAGGCACACAAGGTGTAGGAGGCCAAGCAGCATATAATGGACCAGACCTATTTTAATATCAATAAGTCCCCAAAAAAAGATCTTGAGGAAGTAACATCTGAGATCAGCTCCACAGAATGCTTAAGAATTACTGAGAGTAATAGTAGTTAGGTAAAAGGAACAGGATGTGAAAAGTTTCTGAGGCAAGAAGGAGTATGGCAAGTTTGAGGAACTTACACAAAGTCAATGTAGCTGAAGTGTAGAGTGAGAATGAAAATAGGGAGGTAAGTTTAATAATGTGGAGGGAACAGATCACAAATAATGGAAACCTTGAAGGCCTTAAACATTAGAATAGCATGAGCATGTATTCATTTGTATAAGAACTTTCTAGCTGCATTGTGGATAATGGATCATAAGAAGGCGAGAATAGATATGGGGAGACCACTTAAGAAGCTATTGCAGGAATCCAGGAAAGAGATGATATTAGTATGATTTTAGGCAAGTTACAATAGAGATGGAGAAAAGATGACAGATTTGAGATATAATTAGAGTTTGATGATTGAATATAGATTGTGAAGAAGAATAATAAGAGTAATAAATAAGATCAGAACCCAGCTTCTTGGCTTATGATAAAATTACATGTTGTTCTTCCCCATGAATTCTAAAAAAGGAATCATTTATGTAAGAAAATGTGGCTATAAAAGACAGTATGTGTCTAGTGATAATGCATACATATATATCATAAATTGTATTTGTGGCAGCAGCATTTTATTTTCAAGCCAGTATTGTGGCAGAGTGAAATGAATTGGGTCATTTGGTGTCAAACAAACCTTTGTTTGAAACTCCTCTTCCATTAACTATGAGACCATGGGTATATTATTTAAGCTCTCTGAGTTTCACCTTCCAAATCTATAAGGTATGCACTTATGTAGATTAAATTAGATAATGCATATATGGTGGGAATTAATTTAGAGATCTTAACTGGATTTTACATAATTCTTGGCTCCCTACCCCATGAGTTTTCTCTCCTATTTAAAGGAAGGTACCAAAAATAAATAAATAAATAAATAAAGCAAAGGAAACAGAAAATATAATGTATAGCTTTGAGTTCCAAAGTTGGTTCTTAAAACCTATTATAGATAAAGGCCTTGGATGCCAAGGGTTTTGATTTGCTAGGGCTGGGTCTTATGGAACTCCAAAAAGTCAAGCCATGCAGACAACTCACATAAATTTACATATCTATCTATCTATCTATCTATCTATCTATCTATCTATCTATCTATATATATATATATATACATATCTTGATTGCCTTATATAAACTAGTTTCCTAGCTGGATGGGACTGAGTTGCAGACAGGGAAAAGCAAGGTACCCTTCTCTCTAAGGGTATAACTAGAGAGGACAGTTGTGGACAACAGAATCCCTAGAAACCCTAGAAACGTTTGGGGAAACGAGTGCCTGGTTTCCTGTATGAAGCCTAAGGAGGAAGAAACCTCACGAAGTCTCTTACTAAAAAAAAGTATAACATCAGTAAAATTTAAAAACTTGACCAACCCCATCTGCAACTGTGGATAGCAACTGTCTCCTGTATGGTCCTACATCTCAATGTCATGACAACAATGGAGATGGCTAGAAATTACCCTGTTTTGGAAGGGAGTTACAGGCAGTCTTGGCATCCATAAATTAGGAAGTGATAAGTAAAAAAGGTAGTGAATACACAAAGTAATATGTCACAGAAGAAACATTGTTTCAAAGTGCAATGATGGATCTTGAAAATTTAGTGGTTAGGGAAAAATTAGGAAACAATGGTATCTACAAATTTTTCACAGACTACTCATCTACTTCCTACATAAGCAACAAATCCATGGAAACTCTGAATGCTTGATTTTTCATCTAGTCATTCAACAAACATTTAAGTCCCCATTATGTACCAGCCATGGGCTAAGTGCAGCTTATTCACAGTTGAATGAGATATATTTTCTACCCTCAAGAAGCTTAAAATCTAGTAAGAGAGGCAGGAAAGTAATAGGCAATCACAATACAATTATGTAATTAATAGCATTTATTCATTCTCCTTCTTACCCTTTTCATCTTCTTTCCAGGTGATATGTAAGTTTAGTAACTGAAAAGACATACCAATATGGGAAGTACCATATTAGTGCCTAAAAGCCCAAATGATTATAATGGCCATGAAGTAAGTCAACCAAGTAAACAATACATTCTTATACATTATCTCTCAGACAGCTAAAACTCATTAGTTTTCTTGGGAAGTCCTATGAAATATGTCCTCTACCCAAATATGAACAACAGCAGGGCCTGACCTTAGTCAGAAAACAGTCAACCAAATGTCCTGTATGTTATCCATCTGTGGTACTCACTATGACAACAAGAACCACTTCAAAAAAATATATATGGCATTTGATAAAATAGAAGGTGCTGGAGGGAAGAGACCATCAGTTCAGTAAAATTAGACCCAGCTGTGAGGCACTCAGGCCAGGGCTATCTGTAAATCGCTTTTTTCCCTTGCCCTGTACATTATAGCAATCTACTACACATCACAAGAGCACAGCCAAAAGCCATATGTTTGGCATCATGTGGACAGCATCTGGTATTTTTTAAGATACAACTAAAAATGTTGAAAACACAATAAAACAACTGTCATTCACTTAATGCTTGTGCTTATGTCTTAGTTCATGGATGGTTTTATGACAAATAAACAGTTGTATGAAGTCTCAGTTTAGTCACCTTCCTTTATACATTTCTTTCCTTTGTGAATTACACTTTTGTCTTTCCTTTTGGTTTGGTCTGAGTGTCCTTTTGTATATGTCAGTGTGCTACTGTAGTTGGTGAAACATTGCTGTATAAGCATAATGAAACTATCTTTTAAGGTAAATTCACCCAAGTTGTCCACAAGGTCATAAATATTATTTACACTCAATTCTGTTTACTAAAAGTCAGTTGGGATCTGGCTAATATGTTTCATAATGTCTAGAATTCAGGCTTAACTGGAGTAGTAAGGGAGAAACACACACAGTTGGCACTTGGGAAAGTGGACATGGGCAGTTTTGCTGGCCCTTCTGAATTTTATATGAACTATCATTCTAGATCAAGGCCACCCTCTGATTTGGAAACAAAGCCAGACATTTTGACAAGTGTACCTGTTAATAATTGGCAACCCCAAAGCAGTTTATATAAACCCAGAAATAGTTAGAAGCTTCTTATTTATTGATTTGGGAAGACACTTAACCTGTAACTAATTATATTAACTAATTCACGCCTTCTTTACATCCGTCCATACAATCATGCTGTTAGGCTTAAAATTCTAAGGTACAGATCATGTTTGCTTTCTCTTTTCAGAGGTAAATGATAAGAATACCACTTGCATTTGAAAGACATATTACTCATAGTTTATATAGTGAAGATTATAAAAATATTATGGTAGTCCTTTTATTTTAATTAGAAAACCCAGATTAAAAAACAGCAACTCTCCTCTATAGAATTTACATACAACTTCTGAAATCAAGGTACACTGTATATAAAACATCAAATTTTACATTTATTTAATTCTTCCAATGACTTTTTCATACTTCAGAGTTTACATTTTTCACTATGATTTGTTTTAGAGAGTAGCTAGTATATGGTTGGGTCTTCAGACACGTAGATTTCATATCCAAAAGAGACTATGGTAGAGTTAATTAAGAGCTAACAACAACAACAACAACAAAAGGCTAGGATTAGTTAAGACAAGTTTTCAGTGGAAAGTAGAAAGACTTGGAATGTATATATAAGGAGAAAAACCAGAAAATAATTTCATTACTTTAGTTAATTTGTAATCAAAATTAAGGATTTATATTCTAGATTTATTCTTTTACTAGACACTTAGTTAACTCTAGTTAATTTATCTTTAAATAAATCACTTAGTCATTTAAAAAGTAATTTATCTGTAGCAAATTATCAGTAATTATTTTTAAATTAGTGATCATGCTTAATGGTATTACTCCACAGACAAAATTCCAAAAACTCTATTTCATTCAAGAAATGAATGTCATTTTTAATTATGTTGCTTCCCACCATGTCACTTTCATGCTACTTTTTGACCAATCATAGTACTTACCAAGATGAACCGTAATTACTATAACTAGACTTTGAGTTCTTCCAGTATCAAAGCCATGTCTTATTCTTCTTTGTGCCCCTCCCTGCAAGAAGTTAACTGGGGGAGGGGAGATATGAATAAAAGAATATATTATTAGTATTTAAAAACCAAAGGAATGCTGGTCAATTTGGAAAGTTTTTCTCTAGTGTACACTGTACAACAATTTCTTCGCTTTACAGATATAAACCCCTAACCTGTGCCAATCTGTGATACATAAACCCATTAAAATGGCAGAAGACACAGTGTACAGGAATATGATAGTAATGAATCCAAAGAGCAGTGGAAGCTGACTAATGAAACCGATGACCATTATGTTCTGAGTAAGGAGCCTAATAAAGGCAACTACTACTGGACATGTTTACTAGGCCACTTTACTGTCTAACTTATAGCTCTAAGTTAAAGATTGACAACATTCACCTCACAGAGATTTTCTACCTTCATTGATATACACGGGAAATTTGTTTAACTGGAAGAAGTAAAACAGTCCAACTGAGACAAATGTTGCAAGTAGGAAAGAAGATGGCCTTTGTTTCCCACCTGACCATGTGGGTTGGTTTTGAACTCATATTCTTCAATAGTAGAAGGCCAAACAAAAATTAATTGGACTTAATGTACATTATGTGTATATTTTAAAAATCAAATGGTACAGAATGGTTTAAAATGATAGATAACTCCTTCTAATCCTGAATCTCACTCCCAAGGACAGGCACATTTACCTTTAATAAAATTCCATCTTTAAAAAGAATGTATTTATACTGCCTATCTCTTGATTTATAAATCTCAGACATTATCTATTGAATTCTGGTTACATAAAAGTTGAACTTCCTTAGAGAACTCTAATCTCTTCTCCTCCTTCTTCCCAGTATGAATAATCAATATTTTAGTTCTTCTTGAGTAAATTTTAAGTAACATATTTCCTCATTTATTTCTTGTTGCATCAACCAAAGAAATGATATCTCTCAAATCCCAACACTATAAGATATTACCTTCCCTAAATAACTCTTCAACTCTCCTCTAACACCTCAAAACATTTTTCATCTACACTTTTATATTATGTTAAAAACATTTACTTTTTCATCTTTAAACAGTTAATTCTCCCATGCTTTGTCTACAAAATGATTCTAAAAGTCGAAATTCAATAGTTTTACATCGTCATGACTATGTGAATATTATTCACTACAAAGCCCAGAGTAAGTAGTGTGTTTTATATTTCCTCTCTTGTGCATCATTGCTGCTTTTCCTGGCACTTCTAATGCCTTTATTTTTTCTTATACTATTTGTCTCTACTATACCCTATATATTTCCAAATTCTCCACTCATTATATTATTTAACTTTCCCTCTTACATTTCCAATTACAATGTTATTTATAAAATATAATTGAAAAAATAAATGTCCATAAATATTGGCCTAAATGAAATATGTATATAGAATGATACATTTTGTTTGAAAATTTGTATAAAAAATAAAAATGCTTGAAAATCAACACGCTAAAATTATAATGTGATTATAAATTACCTATAATTTATATTTTGGGTGTTTTTTTTTAATTTGTGAAAAGCAGTGCATTTTAAATCATATTCTTTGGAGTCTACCTTCTGAGTTCAAATCCCAGCTCTACCTGTTACTTAACATCTCTATATCTCAGTTTCCTTATCTGTGAAATGGAGGTAAAAATAACATTTATCTCATAAGACTGTTTTGAAAATCAGTTTAAACAATGAATTTACATAAAGCATCTAGAAGGTGTTTAGACATATTAAATGCTATTGTGATTTTCTAGATGTTCTGTAATAAATATGCACTATATTTATAGTCAAAAACAACAACTTTAAAACCTGTGAGAAATTTATTCAGTGAAAAGAAATTATGTGAGTTGTGGCAAATCTAGAATAAATAGGATAATAATGATGATGATGATAGTAATACTAATACTACTAATAATAACTTTAAAAAATCTTACCTAAATCAATCCTGTAGCAAATAATCTCAGATAATTTGATTCTCCTTTTAGACAAGCAAGATTCTGAGGCAGGATAGAGTTCCAGAAACATTAATCTGTTTTGAAGGGCTCTTGCATGAGTATCTTGAGGGTGGGTCAAGAGAGAAGGAAGAAACCAGATAGTGGATAAAATGGTTGCGAGGTGGAGAAAGGATGAGATATGAAGGTGTATGAGTGGAGGGGCATGTACTAGGTGGTATCAAATGTAGCATTTTGAGGAGATGTCAAATTTAAAACTTCACCAACTGCCCAAAGACATAAACAATACCAAAAGCAAATCAGAGGAAAAGATTCTGGAGCAAAATCAACAGAATAGAGCCTAGAAGTCCAGTCTAGTGAAAAGATTAGAAGGGGTGTGGGGAGGGCAGAAATGAATGCAGTTTCTACAACAATAATTCTCTGGCAATTCTTACAGAGCTCACACCACACAAGCAGCCTACCGAGATGGTGCCCTAAATGGTGGCTCTTAGCATGGGGCACTAGAAAATCATAAGAAAAACTAAAGTTAGTCCTTGAAATATTTTTGCTTAAATTATTTCAATTTTGCTATAATTTGTGAAAAATTAAATGTCAGAAACACTGTGAAATCTACTATTACCCAGTCATGGCTGGTTAATAGGTAATAGACATTTGTATTCTAGAAGAAGAACACAAATGAAGGCCATGACACCAGATTTCATATATTTATAAGTTATAATCAAAGCAACTTTTAAATTAAGCATATTCTCTCCTCCTTTGACAAATAATTTTATAACAGAAAGATAAAGTGTACAGCTATGCTTTTATGACTGAAAGTCAGCAAAATATCTGAGACAACTGAATTTAATAAGTATTACACCTAAGTAAGTGGTCTGTTGATGGACTAAGCAATGAAGATCTATATAATTCATAAATTGTTTTTACAAAATTATTTTTCTTACCATCGTTTCAGTAAAATCCCTTATTACATTGCTATAATCAAGATTTTCACATAGTCTGTGCCATTTTGAATATGTTATTTAATGATACTAAAAATTTATTTTATTTTTGAAAATTTAATTAAATTTATTAGATATTTTAATAAAATGAAATTTAGCAGCTCTAACAACTGATACTATGCTTTAGGCATATTACATGTATACCCACATATATAAAAATTTAAGGTAAAGATGACTTGTTATATTGTAAAATTTCTTCAGCTGTCTCATGCAAATATTTCAAATACTATGCTAATTTATGAGTACATTCAAAAATCAGAAATTGGAACACAAAAAAAGAAAAAAATGTTTTAAAAGGATGTTAGTCAATGCTGGTAAATGAAACTTTATTAACGAAAATTTATTGGATTCATGCTATCAAAGACAAATTTCACGATTTAATTACCTAAATGCTGCTTTCACTAAAATCTTTCCCACATGCTGAAGCAGTATTTATCTCCAAAAACCAATAGCACAACTCAGAAACACAACTCACCACATTCAGATAGTGTTACCTTTTATTTCAAGAACACAGGGCAAAAAAAAAAAAAAACCAACAAAAAACAATGGAAAAGCATTTCCCTTTCCCCAGGGCCTGAACAATGGTAGTGAAGGAAATCAGAATATTTTACCCCAAAATATATTTTTTTGATATCTTTTGAAGTGGTCCTTCAAAGCTGTGTCTTTTGTGTAGAAGAATCTGTGGAGAATCTATATTAATGCAGCCAGGGATTCCCTTGTCCAGATCTAGGAAAACTTAACTGAGAGTCTGATACTTCTAAAGAGAGATTTACCAACTATGCTCTTGAAAAGCTACTGTGAGGTGTCATCTACATAACAAGACCATTTTTGCTAGCCAAACCACTTCCTTTTTCCCTCCCATAATCTGTCTTGCCATTAAAATCTGACTTACCACCTTAACCTGTTTGGGGCCATGCTCTGAGCCTGCATTCTTTCTGCAACCTCAAGATGGTATATAAGTTTCTATACCTCATTGGAAGGTTGGGGCTTCATTCTGAAGTCTCCTGTGTATACATGTTAAATAAAATGTGTATGCCTTTTTCTCCTATTAATCAATCTGCCTGATGTCAGTGATTTTCAGTGAATCTTCAAGAGACCAAGAGCCTTGGTCCCCACATTAATCTTGAGAGTGGATACTTAGGATGTTTAAGGTTACTGGTTGCACTATCAGAGGTGGACATTGGATCACGAATAACAGAGGTACCCATATGTGCTTCAATAAAGTGTATGTGTGGGGGATATCTAATCATCAACTAGATCTCTAAAGAAGTGTGGGACCCAAGGTTAAGGCCCTGCTTGCCTAGTAATAAGTGTGGTACTGTCAGCAACAGATGTGACTCAGATGTCAATAAAGGTCCTAAAAGTAAATATCACTACTGTGAAAGAAAAAAATGCTGATACCTGCTAAAGCATGGTAAGGAAGAATTTATTCAGGATCATCACAATAGATATAGGGACCACAGCAATGGGACTTTGCAGTTGGGGGAGATTGGGGTAAGGAGCATTCTGATTAGACTGACCTAAGGGGATTCTTGCTGAAGATGAGATGGAGCAGTGACCCCCTCATAGGGGGCTACCAGGTCCCCCAAGCATGAAGATAAAAGGAAATCTTGAGTTCATTCAGGGAAAGTTCCATGCACCTAGCTAGCCTTGAAAATTGAATGGGAAGATGATCAGGAAGATAGTAATAACAATGGCCCTCCAGGCAAGCCAGAGTCATGAGGTATTTTGGTTCCCTGTGGAAACTAAAAGATGGTGCCCTAACATATGTTCTTGAGTTATTTTTCAGAAACTCCCATACTCTGTTCACTGTTCTTTGTTCTAAATTTATCCCTGAAGGGCCTGGAAAGAGTCACAGCCATTTTAACATTTCCTTGCTGCAAATCCAGGAATCCCTGAATCCACCTATGACTGTAGGCACCATTTCAGGATATCTTGCTTTTTTATGCCAGGCCAATGTGTAACTTCTATGCATTAATTTATAAGTTTACCTGAAATTTTACTTCCCTGAAAAGTACCTTGGCCTTTAAAAAGTCCTTGCTTGTAATCCATCAGGCAGTTCATGTCTTAAGCATTAGCTTCCTGTTCTCCTTGCATGGTGTCATGCAATAAAATTGACTCTTTCTCCTGTTCACAGCTTCTGTGTATGAATTTGCTGTACTGGGTGAGTAGACTTCAGTTTGGTTCAGTAACAAAGACAGGCTAAGGTGATTAGACATCATCTGGGAATGGGAGGATAAGGAACCTAATCAGATATTGAAGGTGATCAGAAATCAAGATGAGGATGGGGGGTTCTTGCAAAAACTGGCTTATTAGTGTTCTTTGCTAAAGCTGGGTTTTACAAGGAAGTACAAAGACAGGCCTAGGAGAAGGTTCAGGAGCCTGGTTAAAGTTTGGCCAAGCAGAGAATATTTGTCACTATTAACAGTAACCTTCAAATGTTCCTACGTCATTGTTATTATTTCAGAATGAAGGAAATCAAAATATTTTACCCCAAAATATATTTAACATATTTTGAGGTGGCTACCAGAGGGCTAATAAACAGAAGTGGCCCTGCAAAGTTGTATTTTGTGGGGGGAATTTATATCTATAGAGTCTGCATTAATGCAGCCAGGACTTCTCTTGTCCAGATCTAGGAAAAATTAACTGGGTCTGACACCTTAAAGGTCTGAAAGAAACATTTACCATCTATATTCTCTCTGAGAGTTGCTACCTGTAAAGTTTCATCTACATAACAAGACCACCTTTGCTAGCCAAGCCTCCTTTCTTCTTCCCATAACCTTTCTTGTCTTTAAAACCTGATTTACCACTATACCCTGGTTTGAAGCATGCTCTGAGCCTGCATTCTTTCTGTAACATCAAGATAGTAAATAACTTCTCTACTATATTTGGCGGTTGGATCTTTATTCTAAAGACTCCCATGTATGCATGTTAAATAAATGTATATGCCTTTTCTTCTATTAATCAATATGTCTTGTGTCAGTGATTTTTAGTGAAACTTCAGGGCGCCAAGGGCCTTGGCCCCTTCAGGGACAAAATAAACAAAATTAAATAAAATTTTAAAAATTAATAAATTCAATAAACCCTAAACTGCAAGTTTCACAATTCAGATATCCTGTCTGTGGAGGCCACCACTATATACCCTGAATACTGGGTACACAATAGGATCTTAAGTATTTATGAAATAAATTAATTAATGAAATATTTTTATTTTACCTACTTTGCATTATATGATGAGCTAGACAGTGGGTGCTCCTCACCCATGGCCTCAGAGGAACACCAGAGACTAGATTCACATGCCAGAGTAGAATTTTGCAACCTTTTCACAATTTCTGGAACAACTCAACCTAAAGCCGCTGGAGCCCCTTCTGTCATGAACAACATTAGACACAAGAGCAAAGCCATTGCTCATCACTAAGGTCATAGGTGGATTTCATGGATAAGTCAATACCAGATCTGAGGCCTTATTTCTTTCAATTCAATGCACAATTTGAAGGCAGACCAGTTAATCTGAGAGGATATGTTTCAGTATTATGACAGCCTATTTTAGCTTCTGCTTGGACTTTGGCTCCCTCTCTACCTCTGCTCTCAAGCTTAAATCAACTTACAGCATCTGTTCCAAATTGGAGTTGTGCCATAAGAATTTCCCCTGGCAACAAGTCACTTCACCGATAAACTCTAAGAGTTGGTGGTACAACCCATGAACCCAATCTGGAGGGTGGGTCGTTTGGAATTGGTAATGAAACTAGGTTAGGTTCATCAGCTGCCAAACCTTGATTAAAATATTTAAATTCATCCAAACTTCAGACAATTAATAGGGACTTTATCAAAAGAAACAGAGAAAAAATTATTGCAATAAAGTGAAACACATTTTTGGAAAATGCCTACTTTTATAACTGTCAAAGATTACAGTTTTCATGAAATTATACTTTAATTCTTCTGATTTTTCTTTCTCCAGAATAATCACACTTACCCAGACTCTCAGCCCAGGCAATTACATGAGGATGTCAACTCATTTAATGAGCATAGAGGGTTTTTTGTTTGTTTTTTTTTACCAGTTATGCATAAATAACGTATTGGTACAACTGGAAGTGATTTGCAACAAAT